ATCAGCGAGGTCACATGACTAGTGTCACGCCACGTTTCTAGAACTATCCTGTTCCTTCGGGAGTGCTCTAGCATTTACTAGATAGGGGGGTGGTCTGATATATATATATATATATAATATGGTCATGGCGTGACGTGATAATGTGTGTGTTGGTAGTGAGTAATTGAACTGCAGTCAGATAGTATTGTTGAAGTTGAGCATGTTCGTTGTTATAGCGTGACTGTTGAAAATAAGTGTATCGGTAAAGTTGTATTCGGAAAGAATAAACCAGTTTTATTAAGTAAGGTCTTGTGTCGCTAAAGTTCGTGGGAACGAAGTTACGGAAAATTAATTAACAAACGGAGACGTAACAATATCATATGGAAAGACCTAATAAATGTTGATGTATTTTGTGTGATGTCAGTCTTGGAATCCGTTTCTTTATTCTAACTGTAAATTACCTCGAGTTAGCGACTTGTGAGCTCCACTCGCCACTGCAATTCTCAGCTAAATAAATTTGATGCAATCAGCAGTATAGTCGAAACTCCACTCCCAATATCAACATTTTCAGTCACGATTACCACATAAAAATAAATAATTATGTTCAGGAAAAAAGCGACATTTTCACTCCCACATTCCCTGTTCAACTCAACCCAGTAAATCCACTCACTGATATAAACACTTCAAGACCTTTTACTAAAGCTGAAATCAAAATTGACATTAAGAAATTAAAAAACTCCAACTCTGGGTGAGGACGGCATCAAAAACACATTAAAAAATGCATCTGACTCACTCATTACACATCTCACAACCCTGTTCAATCTATCATTAAAATCAGGTTATCTCCCAATAGTATGGAAATCTGTTAGCATTATCCCTAAGAAAAGTAACGATTCCAGTAACCCAGGTAACTATAGATCAATTAGCTTGTTAAATTGCATGGTTCTGCAAAGTGTAGATCTGTTACAAATAATAGGGTTGGAATCCTATAGCTAATGTTGATTACTATCGATTGTCACTTTTTCTTACTTGCTGTGGTGGTGTGTATTGACAAAACTCGTGATATCTAACCAAAAACACCTTAGGTGTGAAAACAGGTGCAGCCAAAGTAAAGGACTGAGCGTGCCACTTAAAGGGATGAAATCAAAGTTGGCGGCCAAACTGGCAGCTACACTTATAACATTAATAAGAATTCTACAGCAAATATTCATTCATTAATTAGTTAGGCTGCATATTTTGTTTTACCCACAATCATGCCCCAAGTTGAACAAAAAATGCAGCCTGGCTAACTAATGAATGAATATTTGTTGTAAAATTCTTATTAATGCTATAAGTGTAGCTACCAGTTTGGCGGCCAATTTTTCTTTTATTCCTTTAAGTTGCACACTCAGTCCTTTGTTGGCTTCACCTTTTTTTCACACATAGGGTGTTTTTGATTAGATAAGTCTCACTTCTAACACCGAATAACTTTTCTGATACTGAACTCATAAACTCACTGAATACTTCATTGGCTGAACTATTCATTGTTGATTAGTCATATTTATATCACACTCTTGTTTCAAGAACCTTCTCGATTATTACATCATCATGATTAGTAGCATCTTCTAGCAAAATCTAAATTTAAATATATAAAATATAGTTTAATACACTATATTACTCTTATCAACAGTGAATAATGTTTTTTGTTGTACTTATTTCATTCTCACCATTTTCCAGAACTCCTGGTGAAAGAGAGTTTGTTTCAGGATTATTTTTGTGGGCGCCCACAGCAATATTTTCAAGGGTGAGGCAAAACATGTATGTAGGGGATCAGCTTTTAAAGTGTAAGTCAACAGACTAACAGAATATGTTATGTGTGCTTAAACACAAATAATATTTAGTTTAACTATGATGTTAAGTTTACATCATAATACGTGCAATGTTTTGTGAAATGTAAGGGGAGAAAATGCCCCCTCCTGTGGGCACCCATGAGACTGGCAATCCCTTCCTTCTAAAATTGCAGTGCATTATGACAAACTTAAAAAACTATATTCTCTACAACAAACAAAAGCACTTGTTTCTGATTTAAGGATATTTTTTATCTTTTAATTTTTATCAATATTTTTACAGGGTTAATACTGTTTCTTTGTTTTTTTGTTTATAGTTATGCACAAAGCTACACAATGGGCTATCTGTGCTCTGCCCACCACGGGTATCAAACCATGTTTCTAGCATTGTAAGTCCGTAGACATACCGCTGTGCCACTGGGGGGCATTTAATATTGTTAAAAAGAATAGTTTCCCTACCTTTTCATATTTCTGCTGGATAGCTCTCAAGTCTCTCTGGAGCTTTGTATAAATTTTCTGTACTCCTTTATGCTTTTTCAGTTGTTCAATAGGCTCAGCAGATATAACAACTTCAGGTGTACCTATTATAAAATACTTAGAATTAAAATCTAATAACTGTAATGTGTGGGCATAAAGCATTTCAGTACATTAGGATACAGGTGTGAATGCCGCCAGATGTTGAAACAGAAAGAAAACAAACATGTATCTATATATAAGTATAGAAGTTTTGTGTAATGAAAGTTCAAAGTATTTTAATTCTATATGCTATAGTGTTAGTATGTATCATATCACTTTTATAAATGTGATATACTGATTATTTGTAAAGTGATATATATGGACAACTGCAAGTCATGCGAATATTAAGCAATAAAGTTGTATCAATCATTTCTGTGTGGTATGCTTTAATTAGTTCAATGAGAAAAAAATTTAGAATTCTATTTTATAAGTTTTTATTGGAAAAATAGAAGCACTTTATAAAACAATACACAACTTATTGTCAGCTAAAGGCAGTGGTTATAAATGACAGATTTTGTCAAGTTATCAAGGTAACTTCCAAAAAGCAACCTGTGTGTAACATATTATACAGAAACTGCTCTAAATAACATGCAGCATTTTATAGCTACATTATTTTTCAATTGAATAGTCAGAGCTAACATTAGAGCGTATTCACTGCATATCAATAATAATAAAAGGACACGTCTGTGGGTGATCGCCATAACTCCAAGAGGAAAGAACCTAGAAATCTGAAATCTTGCACATATACTAAGCAGACCCTGAGGGTGTGCACCTGGGTATTATTATTTATCCACGTGCATGTGTATCTTTTTATGAGGCAAGCTAGTGAAAACCACATAGAAAAGAATATGTGACCACTATAGCTCCGAGAGGAAAGAACCTAGAGGCCTGAAATTTTGCACATATACTAAGTGGACCCTGGGGGTGTGCACCTGGGTATTAGTTATCTTATCCACATGCATGTGTGCCTCGTTTTAGTGAGGCAAGCTAGTGATAAACCACATAGAAAAGAAGTGGTTCCTTATATTACAAATAGAAATCACATTAGGAATAGAAATGCATTCTCTTCTACATGGTTCCTTATATTACAAATAGAAATCACAAACAGACAGACAGACACTCACGTATCATTACTTATCCACGTGCGTGCATGCATTTACATCTTTTTAATGAGCCAAGATAGAAAAAATCCACATAGAAAAGAAGTGGTTCCTTATATTACTAATAAAAATTACATACAGACATGCACGTGTGTGCGTGTCTGTTTGACTGCCATAGCTCCAACAGGATAGGATCTATAAACCTGAAATTTTGCACCCATACTAAGTGGACCCTGAGGATCTGCACATGGGTATTATTACTTATTTTATCCACATCTTTTTTAATGAGACAAGCTAGCGAAAAACGACATAGAAAATATGTAGTTCCTTATATAACAACTTCTAATATATATATAGAAAAGCCAGTGCGTTTTGGTAACAATGCTTTCCAACAATGCCTTTTATATCCTGTTGCTTAGCAATAAATGTATAACCTAATATTGTTGTTAAGAGGCTATGTGCTGAAAGTATAAAATGAAATGTTGTTTTGTAATTTAGAGGCTCCATTAATTAAAGATGTTTATTTTTTATCATTTAAGTTTAAAATTGGGGGACAACATCAGAGGGAAGGTTACCTTTATAAACAGGCCACATCCCGTAAAGGAGCAATAATAGTATTATTGCGTCAACGAGGTCACGTGATTAGTATCACGCCACATCCTTCTCGAACCTTTGTGAATTGTCGGGAGATTACTAGATATAGTGTAGTCTTGTATATATAAGACCGGCCATGAAGCAACGCGGAGGTAATGAGTAAATGAATGTATGCGGACAAAATATTGTTGGCCACGTGAGACGTGAGTTATAGCGTTGTTGTAGAGCGACTGTTGAAATTAAGTGTATCGTAAAGTTGTATTCGGAAAGAATAAACCAGTTTTATCTAAGAAAGGACTTGTGTCGCTAAAGTTTCGTCAATTAACAAACGGAGACGTAACAGTATATAGGTTATACTTTGATGCTAAAATGGGTTCAGAATACACACTAACATAATCATCTAAAATAAATCAACCTAATAACCCGAGCGTAACTGGGTACTTTCGCTAGTATTCAATAAATATATTTCCTTGATAATGTATGTCATAGATGGCCAACTTCTTTTTGGGCATAGAACATTTTCTTACCTAGAATGTACTCTGGGGACTGAAACTACATGGCTGGATAAAGTACGTTTAGAATATTTGCTTAATTTAAATTTTAATGTCTACTATAAAACCCTTAATCAAATATATCGTTTTGAATAAATAGCTGATATTAACATTTGAAGAAAGTTCTCAGAAATGTCACGGGTTTCATTTTCTGTTTTATTTTTGAAAGTTTGGCCAAGATACAATTTGCTTTACGAACATATCAAAAACAGAGACTGAATCTGGCCCGTGTACCACCAGTTGGCCATCTATGATGTATGTGGATAGTTTAAAAAATGGCATATGAGTGGTCAGAGTTAGGGTCTGAGTGAATCAATTTCGTAAAGAGTTGAATTTTGCTACCACTGACATTAACATAAACTTTGTATCTATGGGAGGAAGCATACTTTTGATCAGTCAGGAGATGATGATATGGGGACTTTTCCATTTCTCAGTAAGTGCAATGTCAAGCCTTCTGATGTCAATTGATGGGTTAAGGATATTGATTCACACAATTTCCAAGTGGGTTCCAGAAGTATTGTATAGAATTTAAGTCAGGATTTCACAGTTTCTTGTTCGTGGCCACATGACATCAACATTATTTGGTACAGATTCATCTACAAAAGGTTGTATAACTGTTTCCAGTATCATGTCTGTATAATATAAAGTAGTAAATCCACCCCTCGGAAGTACAATAAAATCTCCATTCATCCCGATGCCTTGTCCTCACACCATAACTGAATGACACTAAAATGATCACACTGAATGATTTTACACTGAACATGTTTCATCTTTGTTTCTCCTGACACAAACTCGTCAATTATTGGAAGAAATATGTACTTTGATACAACTTTGAAGAGTATAAATACAAGGAATCTGATCAGATAACTGCAGGGCTGGAGCAGATCTTCTCAATCTTATTCTGCTCCATTTTTTTTATTACAGGTAATCACTTGAAATCTATAGTGGAATCTATGTGCTGTGGTGTCAAGTCTTAATAGCCAATTTTTTCAGGTAACAATCATTCTGCAGCATAGATAACCTTGGCCAAACTGTCTAATAGTTGTCATTTAGTCTATGTGTAATGGTTTACCATGTTGTTCAGATGGAAGTCATTCCACAGCAAAGATAATCTTGTCCAACAAACTGTCTGACACTTGTTGCTAAGTTCATGTGTAGTGGCTGGTAATTTGTAATATCCATATTGCTCAGATAGCAGTCTTTTCACAGGAAAGATAACCTTATCAAATCTGCCTACATTGCTTACCAACAGCAGCTAACATGGCCATACAATTCAATTAAAACAATAACCAAACTTCAAGCAATCACCAAAACAGTAAATGATCAAATTTGGGAATGAAACAGCGTAGTAAGTGGGAAATGCTCCAGAACAGTTTCATGTGAAACTGCACAGAACTATTATGGCTTGATGTTTTTAGGAACATATTCAGGTGAATTTTACAGGACACATTGAATGTTTGCTCCTTAAATTTTGGTACAGAGTAATCATATACATATATGTATAATTACAGAAGGTATATTTAACTATTTAGTTACATGAAAGACCCAGTTTTTTAAACTAAAACAATTATATCAGTTAGCACCAGATACTGCTTACAGATATATTTAGTTACTCTTTCTGACCTCCTGTGCCATCAGCCTAGCTAAAGTTCTACTACTCATGGTGTGAATGTTCACGAAAATGAGACCATATTCTTCATGTACACTTTAATCCTGAGACTCTTGCCATTGCATTTACACAACATCACATGTTACAATCATTCACTTATATTCACATTTCAATTCTGAAAGAAAGACATGTTGGAAGAATAATTTATGTTATTGTTGTTATTTGTTAAATATTGTGCAAAGCTACATGAGGGCTATCTGTGCTAGCTGTCCCTAATTTAGCAGTGTAAGACTAGAGGGAAGGCAGCTAGTCATCACCACCCACCGCCAATTCTTGGGCTACTCTTTTACCAATGAATAGTGGGATTAACCATCACTTTTTAACACCCCGCGAATGAAAGGGTGAGCATGTTTGGTGTGACAAGGATTCAAACCTGTGACCTGCAGATTGCGAGTCGAGTGCTCTAACCACTTGACCATGCTGGGCCTAGACTAGACGAAAGTCAGATACTGAACACCACACATCACCACTCTTGGGCAAGTATAATTAAATATTTGGATTTGACTGTCACTCTTTAAAAGCACCCATGACTCCAAAGTTTGAGAAAACATTTTATTTTTGTGGTAACAGGCACAAACCACTGAACTTTGGATCCACAGTACTGCTCGTTAACCACTGGGCCACACTCATTGTTATTTGATACCACTTGGCCATGCTGGGCCTAGACTAGAGGGAAGTCAGATACTGAACACCACCCATCACCACTATTGGGCTAGTATAATTAAATATTTGGATTTGACTGTCACTCTTTAAAAGCACCCAGGACTCCAAAGTTTGAGAAAACATTTTTTTTTGTGGTAACAGGCACAAACCACTGTACTTTGGATCCACAGTATTGCTCGTTAACCACAGAGCCACACTCATTGTTATTTGATGCCACAAGTTTGAAGTAACATTCCAGTGAATTATGTAACTTGACACTGCGGTCACGCGACTGTTGTTCATCAATTTTTGAGATACAAGAGATACCAAAAAGTGTGAGTAGAAGCAGGTCTATTAGTGGCAGATCCTCTTAGTGCATGATGATTAGAGAATGCTAGGCCTATTGCCATATTTGTGTTGCATATTCATGTACATGTAGGAGTACCAGTATTGTGCCCTCAGTTTCAAGAAATGAAAAAGATTATTTGTGTTGCTGTTTTGCAATGGTTAATCACAGAAAGAATGTATTAATTATTACAATAAATATAACTATATGAATGTAAACTGAATGCAAAAAGTAAAAGGATTATACATACAAATTTCTGTTATATCTATGATTCTACTGCATTTTCGATAGAAAGGAAAGAAGTTTGAACCAAGTTGATTGTTTAAACTCACGAATTTCAAAGTCAAGTTTGAAATGTGACATCACTGGACTAGGTAAGTTATTGGTAAATGCTCCAGTACACTGAGGAAGATTTCCATTTCCATTCATGCTAACAGATTTATTGTTTAACTCTAGAATATTTTTTGTTTCTACAGCTTCTGAATCACTCCTCCATAAGTAAGCTCTCGTCTTGTCAGGTTCTGTTTTCTTGATATCACAAGGAGCAGGTGATGGGATGTCATTTGGATCTCCTTCCACCTGAATAATGTCATTCAGCAGTTTTATTTACTGTTTAAATCAATGATATGAACTGATAAAACCCCAAAAATTAGATAAAAACATACAACATACATTAAACAGTAATGAAAATCGTTTCCAATAATAATTAGTGTAAACATATAAATATGAAAAATTGCTCAATGTTTACAGTTTCCTAAGTATAGGTACCTGAGCAGTAAAATTGCACAGAACATTGAGAAGAACATAAAAGTCAACTAGATATTTATTTATTAGGTCTACAATATATATCATCTACTAGAACTACCACAAGTTACCAGTCAATTACAAATAATGATTTGAATCTTAACCAGTTAACACATAACTAAAAATAATAGTATTTTATTTGTAATGCATTGGTAAATGAAACATTTTATGACTATGAGAGAGTTTCAATTTAACAGGATTATATACTACTTAACTCTGGGTCAGTTTAACATATTAGTGACACCCTCATTGACTATAAATAAATATTAATACTTTTCAACACACCACTTCTAACTTTTAAGGATCAATAAGTCAGCAAGAGTGGGTCAATTGAACATATTAGTGTTACTCTCATTGACTAAATACTAATATTAATACTTTTTACTTTTATTATGGCTTATTCATGATGTTGAGGAACTCACTTGAAGTAAATCTATAGCTGATATTGGTATTAAAAATATTTTTTGTGTTTTTAAATATAAGTTTTTAATACCCATATCAGCTGTCTCTGCTATAGATTATGGCCCTTGTTACTTATAAGGGTCAGCTTTGAGGTTTTATATTATTTAAATTTTTTTTATTTAATAGTTTTAGTTCAGTTTAGAGGATAGGACAGCCTGGATGGACCAATAGTACCTTTGTTGTCACTAAACATTATGTTATGTTAAAATTAAGAGTGGAAGCTTAAATTTAGCTGTGTTTAAATACTAAGTCATCTTCTCATCATAAATTAGTCAAATATGAGTGAAACACTTTTAAACTTAGGAAATTATTCAAAATATAATTGAATCTAAACATCTACATACATACTGTTAATTGCAACATCAGGCCTTAATTGATAATAAAACTGAAATAATTTCTTGCAATAACTCAATTTAATAAGAATTATAAAATTCTACTTAATCTATTAAAATGGAAATAAATAACTCTGTACAGCTAGAACCTGTTATGTGTAACCTTATGTGTAGTTTTGATATAAACATAAATTTTAACAAACTGTTCAAATACTAACCATCTCTACATCATCAGTCAATGCTAGAAGCTGTTTGGTGTGTTTTTCAACCATAGACTGATATGCAATTGGGTTTGCTAGGGCATCAGCTAGCTCTACAAAAAAAATAAGAAATTAATAAACAAGTCCTTTCCCAACTCCCACCAATGTAATATTCTTAGCTAATCTTTTATGTGGTACCTTATCAAAAGTTTTTTGAAAATCTAAGTTTAACAAGTTTACACTTTCCATCATCCTGATAACATTTAATATCCTCACAAAGTTAACAGATTAATAAAGAAAGGTTTCCCCCTTCAGTGAATCCACATTTTTTTTTCTTTTCTGATATTATACTTTAATGGATGACTTTTGCAAAGCTACTTTTAGCAGACTCTTATCTTTAATGTACTACAAGTCCTTGCTGCTAGTCACCCATCTTTGTCAACCAACTGTTTCTCTCAAACCCTTATAGATTTCCTAATATTTTTAAACCAATTTCCTAGCTTTCCTACAGTTCTCTAAGTCTTTCTTCCTATCATAATGATTAATATATACCATGAGATCAATAACAAAAATTATTTTATTGGCTCCTTCAGTATATGCATAAAAATATATTTTCAATTTACATTATTTTTCACTGTGAACGAATAGTACTATTTTCTAAATGTATGTTGAGTATGTATGTTGAATCATTTCTAGGGTACAGACACATCTCCCTTCGGAATGAATCAGGACAACCTTTAGCTCTTCCATCTTTGTTTGTTCATGTTACTGTGAAAGACTACATTCCTGACAGTCTTTTTGGTAATTACGTTCACAACTTTTCAGAATACGAAAACTATTCAAATTTATTATTTTGATGCTGTTAACAAAGTAATTGCTATACAATGTTATAATTAAGTATGTTGCAGACAGTACTTTTGTTATGTTGTAAAACCGATTGTTGTTTTGTTGGTTTGCTAATAATTCAATTGTGATTTACTTGTGATTGAAAATACATATTCAACAATCTACTAAGTTAAGCTAAAGATCTGAATATACTTTAGTTTGAATGAACTCCAAAACGTGCAAGTACAAGGCAGACACAAAAAAGTCTCTGGTCGTTAGTTAATTTTCCATGAAAATTCTTTCCAAAGAAACTTTAGCGATACAAGTCCTTTCTTAAATAAAACTAGTTTATTCTTTCTGAATACAACTTTGCAATACACTTAATTTTCACAGTCACGCTATAACAAACGCTATAATTCACAACGAACGACTCACGTACTTGACTCAACAATACGTCTCTCTCTGTCCGCAGTTCAATTACATTACATTACATTGTTGTCGTCACTTCCTACTGGTCTTATATATACAAGAATACCGAAATCTAGTAAACGCTCGAGCATTCATGAACCTCCGAGAATATGATGTGTTACTAGCGTCACGTGACCCCCGCTGTCATAACAATATGGTGTATCATTTCCTTAGTTTCATTTTGAAGTTTTTCTAAACACTTGAGAGCATACATTAAATATGCTGACCAAATGTAAATACTCAATTACAATTATAAAAATAACGCTTCAAAATTTTATATTTGTTTTATTTTATAACTAACATACGTCATTATTTTAATCGTACATCATTATTTTAATCGTTTGGCTATAGAGCTAATACAGAACTAAAAATACATATACATATTAATAAACTTCAAAATTCACTACACAAGCATCACAGTGGTGAAAACAGGAACAACTCTAAACTCACCAGGTCGCAATCCAATCACTGGAAGTACCCTGTGCCCAATAAAACGCCCATTTTCTTCATTAACTGTTATTCTTAAACATGCCAATTCTGGCAACACTACCTAATTAATGAATAGATAAAAATGAGGAACAAAGTTGTTAATTTGAAAAGAAACTGTTTACCACACTGTTCACACAGTTTGCCATTTCAAAATAACTACAAATGTCTAAAGAAAAATGACATTGTCGTTGATATATTGTTAAATAATTCCAGAAAGGCTAAAAGGACAATTAAGTAAACTATTTCAAAATGACTTTTCATATAATTTTTTACAGCTTGTACATGATATTCACAAAGAATGTTTTAAGTTTATCTCCATGGCATAAGATTAGAATGATATTAACTTTATGTTAGGTGATCATGACTGCTTCAGTACACTTTATTCTTTAGTGTAAGTGATGTGCATGATGTATTCAGTTGTAGTTTAATATTTGTTTATTAATTAAGGCTTTGGCTAGGAACTGCCCTAAAAGTCATTATTTCAAAGTTGTATATGAAAAACTAAAATAAGAGTAATTAGGTAATACATAAACAAACAGCTAAATTTAAAGAAACAAAATTAAGCAAAATTAGATTTAATATATATTATTAAGCCTGAAATAATTAATAAAACCAGATTTAACAGAAACAAAATTAAGTACAATTAGGTTTAACTTACATATTACTAGGCTTGAAATAAATAATATAACTAGACTGAACAGAAACATAATTCAGTAATGTTAGATTTCATACATGTTTCAAAAACTACACATAAAACATTGAAACATATACTGTACTGACTTAATTTACTGTATTAGATAATCATAAAACAACAGATGAATAGACATATAGGTATAAATACAATTTTCATTACACAAAACACTAATTAATTCCTTCATTACACAGCTGCTTGTCTCTCTCTCTTTAAGTTGCTTTGTTGACAGACCAGATCTCACCTTAAAGAAAATAAAAGGTGTTTATGCAAAACATATGCAACAGACAATATTTCTGCACTTACCTTTTTAAACACAAATGGCTCCTCATCAAAAGATGGGTTGATACCATTACCAGGAACAGTTTTTGTACGAAATCTCCGCCTGACTGTGTCAGCTGGTAAACCATACATATCAACGTCCACATAAGTTCCAACCTTTCGGTCTGTGAGGAACTGGCCAGAGATTATCTGCAAGTGACCAAGTAAATGTGCTTGTCTCTGTATGGTGTTACTAGAATAGTGATAGCCTATCTCACTATAAACTTTTTTTATTTCTTGAGGGGCTACTTTCATTTCCTTTGAGTCTTAAAGTTAGCAAAAAGAAGAGTGGCCTATTATTAACTGAACTACCACTAATAATGAAAATTACAGTAGAAACTAATGAAAATAAACATTAATGCATAAACTGACAACACAGAATGTGAATGAAGACAGTCTGGAATCAGTAGAAAGAAATGAACCAATTAAAATATATACTGGTTCTGGTCAATGAGTTGAACTAAAATCTGTTGTTTAGCTAGCCTTTAATATGTAGTTTGAGATAACAGTTCTTCTGATTAAAACAATGAGGGCTGATAAAAGTTAAAATCAACACAAAAGAGTGGTCTCTTTTGCATCAGAAATGCAAAATGCTGAAATATATTTTAAATAAAGTACAAGTTTGTATGTTATACCTTTAGTTTTTACTTGGATTTATATCACAATGAGGAGTCTTAAGCTATATAAATGTTAATATTTAAAATCAGTTTGAACTTTTGTATCAATCATAATTAACTTGTCTAAAGCAAGAAAGAATCATGATGAAAAACACAAATTGAGTTCTATTTCTCCATTTTAAATATTATACTCTTTGTGCTTTTGATCGAATTTAACTGGTTATTTTTATAACCTGTAAGATCTTCACGTACCCTGACTGTCTAAGCACTGATAAGTTGTGTTTAATGTTCTCTAGTATTTAATTGTAATCAAAACGAATATTTAAAATGCCTGAATGTAAACATTGTTAGAAAGTTTCTGACCTTTCAACCAATATGGAAAGAAACACGATAATAATTTTAATAAATAATTTAGCATTAACTACATTCATTGTACATCATGGTTTAGTGAATTTATTGAAAAAATATAATATCATGTTCATACTCTAATATAATTGTATATCATTTCAAACATAAGAACTACAATGTCAAATATAAATTACTTGTTTTCTAAACTTTCCAGAAATGAATATGTATCTCACACCTGAACTGTTACAGTGCCAGCTATTATTCCATCTACAGTAGATTCAATGAAGGGATCAAATCTCCGGTCAGCTCTTCTCATGAATTCAGGTTTTAACAAATAACCACAGCAAGCATTGTATTCAAAGATTCCCTGGTTTAGCTGCATTCCCAAATCTTTGAAAATATATCAAAATTAATAAATGGATTGTAATTTTAATAGCATATACAAAAATATCCAATTGAAAAATAAAACTGAATATGAAATAGAAATCCAAGTGAAATTCAATTTGAAAAAAAAAGACATTTTCCAATTGATTTGAATTTATTTTTGTATTTGTAATTGGAATCATGAAATGTGTCTAAATCTTTCAAACTGATATGATTCTGAAACATTTCTTCATTAGATAATTTTTGAATGCAGTGCTCCTTATTCTGAACTGAAAGTTGTTACTAATAATAGTTTGATGTTAAAATCATGGTATTTGTTATGCATTACAGTTTTTGTCCGGTGTAATTTATTTTATTTTTGTTGTCTAGTTTACTTTACACTTCAATATTACTTAATTTGTAAAATTTTTATCAGTTACCTGGTTTTGTTCAGTAAAACTGTTTTTAACATAAAAATATTAGTTTAACTAAATCTTTATTTTTATTCATAATTTATGGCATTGATATGTATTGTTAGCTTACTCCAATTCAGAAGTTCTCACTAATAAGATACTGTAGTTTTGTTTAGCCTTCAACTGAAATATAATTATTTTCTGATAGGTATCTAATATAATTTTTTAATGGACTTCTATTAGATTCAATTAGTCTTCAACTGTATTCTTGTAGGAACATGACAGGATTGCTAATGGATCCAATTACAGGGAAGGTGGCAGAACAAAATGTGGGGTAGATTGTCGATAAGCCTCACAACTTTATGGTGTCATGCAAGAACATGTTACTCTACCTCATGACCAGTAAATGATATTAGTTGATGCCCATTCATCATGAACTCTGTTGAAAGAGATTGAATTTTTATGTGGCATAAGATTTATTGGAAAACACATGATGATATGCATATTAAAACAAGGTATAATTTAGATTATCTTGTATTTAAATAATTCTGAAACTAAAAGTAGTAAAAATGCTATGAAAATTCACTACTTGTGAATTATTGAATGTGATATTTCATATGTCGTTAATTGCTTCAATCTCAAATTCAAATGATTCTTAGACTGGTTCATTGATTACCCACACCCACCCACTATGTATTTATTGAAGAGTCAGTCTAACACTCCTATTATGATGTACCAAAACGAAATTGTGTCAATTAAGTGCACATTAGTGATTTATAACTAGAGAACACCACAAGATTTAGGCTCAAGATGAATATATATATTTTTCTCATTGGATTTGGAATAATTATCATAATGAGCACTAGGGTGGATTTGTCCACTTTTTGGTGATGCTTCTGTTCAGTTATTCCTTAATTGGATTCTTATAACAACAAATGGTCCAAACTTTCTATTTGTTTATCAATTGCATTTCTATTACGTAATTTTGCATGAGAGATTACCGTTAAAAACTGTTTATCATTGCTAATCAAAACCAACTGTTTTAATCCAGCTGGCTTTATAAAAAACTTGATGGAAAGTAACTTGAAATAACAACAAGCTGATTTTTAAAAATAAATAGATTATTTGTAAAGTTTTATAGAGGCAGATCTTAAGATATTTTGTAAGATTATGGTATAATGTTAAGCTGAAAAACTTATGTAAAACTATGAAGGTACATATTTGATCATATACTGAAATATAAGTTTCTGAGTCCCAGTACAAGCTAATAAATAAACTTAGTA